TGGGCCCTGAGATAGCGCATGTTTCAGTTCCACGGAAGAGTTGGCGACAACTGCGGTGCGCCAGTTGAAGGTAGACCTCTTCGCCGCTAGAGTGTAGCTGAGATTGTAGAGAGGCTCCGTCATGTTCGGCAGATAATCCTTGTAGACAGCGGAGAGTCGGGCGATACCATCGTGATCATGGCTGCTAAAGACAAACAGCTGGGGATGGTATAGAGTTCCATTGATGACCGGAGGTGCTTGGCTTGCTGGTATTATACTTCAGTATTTGTATTTTGGATCACCAAAAGGGAAGTTGGCCTTACGAGTTGTCATTGGCAGCCGCGGTACCTCAATAGTACGGTGGGGTGCGGCGTGTCCATGCTCCCTTAGGAAATGAAGCGCATCTTCCAGCACAACGTGGGCATTGGTGCCCGAAACTCCAAAAGAGTTGATCGAGACTCTGCGAACGCCTCTCTTGGTCTTGGGCCAGGGAATCGAGGTAGTTGGAAACTCAAGATGCCATTCGACCGGGATCTTGTGGTTTCTTTCCTGAAACCATGCGTTCGCTGGAATGATACCTCTCTCCACGCACAAGACGCCTTTGATGAAAGACGCAATGCCCGAGTTGCCTTCAGTATGGCCAATGTTGCTCTTCAGGGCGCCGATGTACAGAGGCTCTTTCGCCGATCGATACCGCGTGAACATCTCACTAATGGCAGCAGCCTCTGTTGGATCGCCAACATTCGTACCCGTTCCATGAGCCTCAAAGAAGCGTGTGTCTGAGGGGTCAAGCTTGGCTTGCTCATAAGTCAATCGCATGATCTCAGCCTGGGCCTCCTTGGCAGGTGCTGTAAGACCAGGAGAGTGTCCATCATGGTTGCACCCGGTATTGCGAATAACGGCGCGAATTGCTAGCGAAACCGCACGTGTCAGAATTTTCAAGTCGCGCTCAACTTTCTGGCAACTAGAAAGGGTGTACTTACTGTCTCCGTCCCGTAGAGCATCGGACATCCTTTTCAGGACGACAGCTGCGATGCCTTCACCTCTCCCGTATCCGTTTGCCCTGCTGTCAAAACTGTAAGATGTACTAGATGGGTCCAGAACACCAAGACCATTCAGCTCCAAGCCCATCTCAGGGGAAAGCAACACATTTGTGCCACAGGCAATGGCCTTTCGCGATCCGTATCAGCATAAGTTGGGAGGGAGGAAGCTATGAGATCTGGCACTGACGATGTTACAGTCGCGTGATTTCAAGCCAATGACAGCTTGATGAAGGGCAACCATGCTGCTCGAACAAGCAGTGTCAACACTTAGTGCTGGACCTCGGAGATCATAGAACCATGATACACGCCCAGCTAGGGTACTGGCAATGGTGCCACACGCCGTGTATGTCATGGGAGTATCCACGTCCTTGATCAAGAGATCTCGGTAGTCCCACATGAACGCTCCCGCATAGACGCCAGTGGGCGAGCCCTGCATGTCAGACATGGTGTACCCAGCGTTTTCCATCGCTGTGTAGACGCATTCAAGCAGCATTCGCTGCTGCGGGTCCAGATTCGCAGCCTCTGCTGGAGTCATGGCGAAGAATGGTGCATCAAACGCCTTCACGTTGGCTTGCATGAAATGCCCTTCTTTTCCGCCGATCTGTTTTCGTGTCAATCAAGCTTGAGATAATCAGAGAGAAATGCTGGGTATCTTACAACTCCATCTCTGTGATTATCGGGGTGCCAGAATGCTTCCGCGTTGTAGCGATCCCCAGGAACAGGAGCTCGCGCAGATCTTCCGGCAATCAAAAAATCAAAGAACTTCTCGACGCTGTCTCCATCGCATGGAAGCTTGGCATCCAGGCCAATGACGGCAATAGGCTCAGCCATGGTTTCTGACAGAGAAGAGAAGACGAAGTCGGATTGTTGTCAGCGAGTTGGGAGTGAGTATTGTTCACTACCTTAACATGAATTCGAACTCAACGGCAATGACCTAAAACGACTAGAACCTTATAACACAAAGGATTAAGGGCTGCTTTCTTAATGAAGGAATACATATACATATATATAGCCATGTGTCTGGATATATGCTGTTTGGACTCTAACAGAAGACTGGCTAGATGTTGCCCAATCCCTCATCATGCTTATCCACGTCGCACTTTTGTTGTGGTGAGCCCATTTCCTGAATGCCCAGAATTCGGACACTGCAGGGAGGCTTATTCCCCATTAACAATAACTCACTGGAACCTTGCGAAGAATCCCCGAGTTCTAGGGAACTTTTGTTTCCTGGGCATCGGAGGCCGCGGACACGACACTGCGTTCCGAGCGTTTGCGTGATCTTTACTGGAGGGCACACTCTGTATGAGTCAAAGCATCATCCGGGCGAGAAGGGGTAAAAATACGGTCGCAAGTATAGAGCAGGTCGCAAACAAAGCTCATAACGTCAAGAAGAAAGTTACAAAAGTACAAATGAAAGACTTGTATCGTGCTTGTATTGAGATAATACTAGTACGAGCCAGATAGTGGACGTAATTATAAACCTATCACATTACAGCAAGACTAGAAATAATATGTATGGGATCCCGCTCGGACACCCTGTTGAAGGATTAAGCCACTCCGAATATCATACGATTGAGTCTTTTGGATATCACTTGGTGTTGTAGTCGCAGTTCTACACTCACCTGGGAGCAAATAATTTGGCTGGTACATAGCAAGTACTAACGAACATCCGATCTAAGCGGAGGTGTACAATGATCTTAGCCGCACTTTATGTTTGGTAGTGAGTTTTTCAGCCTTCCACCATCTTTGTTTACATAATTCATCTTCAAGCACTCTCAGTGATTGCCAGGACGTGAGCAAGCCAGAACGGGGTTTGCATGTTGCAACTATGATGGTAGATGTTTCATCATCCCGTAGTTGCTGCTCGGCATTGTGAACGCGGCAGCAATTCTGTCGTAGTCCTCTGTCGTATTCGACCCTAGAGACAAACATTGTTCTAGTTCGATTTTGTGCTAAGACGACACTTTTGTGGGGCACTGAAGCAGTCGTGACAGTAAAAGCTTAAACAGGCTAGCGTCGCAGATAAGGAATAGTATATGACCTTACATGCTGACTTGACATCATGTCCTTACATCATGACCGTACATTGTGTAGCGTCATTGAGACACATTCACCCAGCCCAAACACAAGGCAAAATTCGTTTACTACAGACCGTACTCTAATATACTCTCTGATATCCAAAGTACACATCCAATTCCGAGTCTTGCACGAGGCCTTTCCCTATCGTAATCGTAGATATATATCGGCCATCGGCGTTCACTTCAATTTCACAGGATTGCCCCGATGTTAGTCAAGTCATCTCCCAAATACCGGTGTGTAAGGGGGTTTGCAAACCTAAAATAAAAGCCGTTAACATCGTCTGGGCAATGGTCTACTACAAACTTGCTCGTGGGCGGGTGGGCATCAAAGCGAGGGGTTATGGTGCATTTGTCTCTGATTTAGGCTTTCATACCAAGGATAAGCTCCAAATGCTGCTAGACGCAGCTTACAGTCAACGGCGAATGTAGCCCACAAGTTCCGACAGAGGTGAGTCTTCGCCGACATCGGCAACCATTAGGCTTCGGCTTTACACTTCGGCGAATGGAAAAGCACGGCTTACGGCGCTAGGTGATTGGGACGCTTTTGCGGGATGGCTGGTCCATACATGATGCTGGCTGGCGGTATCTCCTTGATGAAACGCGAGGCGTCGATGCATGCAGGAATCTACGTTGGTAAACTAGTCGAGTTGGCAATCATGTAGCAGCCATCCCCAGTTCGGCGTTCAAAGTCACCTCACACCATGACATCGCAGGAATAATGATTGGTTAGGATACTATTCATCAGACAATGCTCCTTTACGTTGAGCTGCGTCGCTGACATTGCTGAACTGTTGTCCGGATCGGCCTCTGGCTTTTCGCCTGAGGTCATTTCAGGGCTACCTACATGTCGATAGTGCTACGGTACCTTAGTCCATATTAGGTTCTGTGTAGGAATTGACTTTCTCCACTTGTCAATATCCTACAGACTACACTCGGACAAGTGAGAGACATCGCTAGCGTCCGAAGATGGATAATTGCCATTGAGATTTAAGCGATGGACAAGACATCATACGGCCAATACATCTCTTTTCCAGAGGACGATAGCCATCATCAGGATCACGTTCGTTGGTGACATATGTATGCAATACTTGCTGGATTCAGAGAAATTGACAGCAGCCTCCTCTTTCAATTATCCTAGGCGCTGTTAGAGTATGGAATTAATATAGATAGTTTGTATTTCTCTTGTTCGGGGTCGTTGTCTCAGCCTGAGGGTCGAAGTTAGAAGACTTCCTGCAATGATATTATAATACCTTGAAATACAGAAAAGCTGGAGATGAAAGGACGTGAAAAAATAATAGGCCGAAATTTGTGAGAGTGAGTAGCTGAGCAAAGAGATTCGTCGGCGGATTTGTGTTCTGGCCATGATAACCCTTGGAGTGACAATAATTGCCATAAGTGGAAAAAATGGCGGTCTAAAGTCTAAGTCACAGTTGTACTACCATCCAAACACTCGGAAGTACAAGATCCAACCTGAACAGGGTTAGTTCAGGTGGGATGGGAATAAACCATGCATGTTCCGGGGATTCATACGTTCCAAGAAGCAAAAGTTCCAGTCGGATGGCTGTCTTCTCACTGCTCATTGAAAAAACACTGGGCAGAATTATAATATCCCATGACAGTTGCCTCTCTTGTCACCCACCCCTGTTTCTAACAGGTTGTCATAAAGTGGATTTGCTCCACATATAACCACAGTAGGTTTCACCACGAATTCGAAATTCCCCGCCATGTCCACCAAAGAGCGGTGCTGTCGATGTAGAAGGCCCAAAGGCCCAAAGTCTGAGTGAATACGCGACAATTATAAGGCAGCATGGTCACTGGGGGATTCTTGGGCTGTACCACACGACCGCATCTCGCTTGAAAACATATCTTTGCTTTATTGTATCGGAATCCTAAGAACAGTATGATATCGGCCGCCATTATCGTGTCTGCTTTGTTCTATTGGTTCTATAGTTGCAGAAAGAGAAGCTACAATCTCCCTCCTGGGCCTAAGCCTTTCCCTATCCTTGGGAATGTCAGAGATCTGCCTCCGACCGGCATTCCCGAGTATAAGCATTGGCTCAAATTCAAAGACATCTATGGTCCTATCAGTTCCATTCATATCTTGGGGCAGAGGATCGTACTTCTTCATGATCGTCAGGCTGCGCACGACTTGCTGACCAAGTCCTCGACAAAGACCTCGGGTCGCCCTTATATGCGGTTTGCGGACATGTGCGGATTCGCATCGCTCCTCAATCTTCAACAATACGATGGAACATTTCGACGGCATCGCAAATTGGTCCACCAGCAATTTGGGACGAAGGTAATGGCAGCACGATTTCGGGACAATATCGAGCCAGAGTCACATCGATTTCTTCTCCGAGTTCTGGATGATCCAGCCAACTTGGCGCAGCACATCAAGACGTAAGTTTACATAGCCTGAATGAACGCGGAGGCACCGACTCGATATCCATCAATATGCTTTAGATTGTCCCTAACTGAATTCGTATAGTGAGGCGAGCGCCATCATTCTCAAGATAACCTATGGCTATTCTATTTCGCACAGCGGAACCGACCCTTTGGTTCATCTGATAGAGCGCACGATGGACGTGTTTGCACTTGCAACTGTCCTGCTCGCTTGGGCTGTGGATATCATGCCCATACTGCAGCATCTTCCAGAAGGCCTTCCAGCGACGTCCTTTAAGAAGCAGGGTCGAGAATGGAGAAGGCTTCTGCAGACGACACAAGACGTCCCCTACTTATTCGTACAGGAAAAAATGTCCAAAGGAACCCATGAACACTCATTCGTCTCGTCACTTCTTAAAGAAGACAGTATTGTCGACTGCGGGACCAAGAACGACTATTCCGAGGATGACATCAAGAAGACAGCCTTGGTCATGTACGGCGGGGGAGCCGACACCACTGCGTCAGCCCTTCACAGCTTCATCCTAGCCATGATCCTATTCCCAGATGTCCAGAAGAAAGCACAGGCGGAGATTGATGGTATTGTCGGCAGAGAGAGGTTGCCTGACTTTGGAGACCGAGATCGCTTGCCATATATCAATGGCGTAGTGAAGGAAGCTTTGCGATGGCTCCACGTGGCGCCATTAGGCGTTGCCCATCGGACCGATGAAGACATCAGCTACCGAGGCTTTGAAATTCCCAAAGGGACGTACTTGCTGCCGTCGATATGGTGGTTCTTGCATGATCCTCATACATATTTGGATCCCTCTTCCTTTGACCCTGCCCGATATTCGGCACCTCGTAATGAGCCAGATCCCACGGATGAAGCCTTTGGGTACGGTCGAAGGATTTGTCCCGGCCGATTTCTGGCGGATGAGAGTCTCTTCATTACCATTGCGCGTCTCTTGGCGACATTTGATATCAACATGGCTGTTGATGACTCGGGTAATGAAATTGCGCCCCAGATCGCTACTACGAGTGGCTTGATTTGTCGTCCAGTCGACTTCCCATACAGCATCACACCAAGAAGTGAGCAATCGGTGCATCTAGTCAGGTCAGCCCAGGAGAAATATTCTTCGGAAGACGAAGATGCGGATCTTGTTCGGGACAAGTTCCCAAAAGTATTTGAGTAATGAGCATTCGTGGTGGTAAACCCAAAGGTAGAGCAAGATCAAAGTCGTTGAATCTGGAAATAGAAAGGAGCTAAACTATTTTCAAACACGAAACAAGACAATACCTGCCATTCATAAATCCACTTCCTTTTGAAGTAGTGGTTCGTTACATCACTGCGGGGTTCCAGTCTCTTTTAACGTCTCGAAAGGATGGAAACCGCCGCATATCATGAAGATCGAGAGTTGAACAGGATCATGAAATAATCAAGCAGGCTTTAAGTTTTATGGCTTCCACTGTTGACCACTAGTAGGCTCAAGCTCTCGTTCAAGAAATCAGAGCAGGAACAAAGTAGTACTCTGGTGGCTGATGATCCATATAAAGAACCTTTTCGCATGCATACGACTTAGAACCAAAATTTATCCAGCCCATGATTAGTCAAATTCCTCTAGCAGCGAGTCGGGCAATTTCGTCTGCGGCGATATCTCTGCCCGGACGGCGAAGCGTCTGCTGTATTGCCCTCGCATTGTCTCTTTTGGCGACGCTTTCGGGCCCTCCATCCACGAGCCGCAAGAGGGCTTCACTAAGCTCGTCAAGAGAGAAGCCAGGGGCTGATTTTCTGTTGCCCCATATTCCAATCCCGACTTGCTCAACCCTAGCGGCGTAGTTATACAAGTCGAGCCAAGTCGCCAGAATGAGATGCGGCACGCCAGTCCTAGTATGCCTCGCATTAGCACCCATCCGCCAAGAGATACCAGATTGTTCGCAGTGGCATAGGCCATGACGAATGTCTCGAGACAGTGTTAACACTCACGCGAGAGCTTCGTGATAGCAATTAGCCCCGCCATGGTGGACGGAAGCAATGATATCGCCCGTCTCGAGTAGAGCAGCTGGATCCACCGTCAACCACTTCAATACCCTGAGCCTATCGTTCGCAATGAATTCCTCCACCAAGGGCCTCCATTCTTTATCATCGAGACAAGTGTTCATCTTCCACAGAACCTGCACACTCGTGCGTCTCAGGACAGCCTTTAATGCGCCGGCCATGCTGCTTGCTCTGTCGGCATCGTATTCAAACAAACTACCAAGGTTGATAAGTACCGTCGGAGCCCTCCTTAGCCATAACGTTAAATCAATGTCTTGTTCTGCGGCCGAGGCGACCGAAATCACAATAGGACCCGTTGTGGTGACGTTGGCTGGAACTGAGCTGAGCGGAATGGAGGCAGCAGCTGTGTCTTGGGAGATGAACACGCCGTTTCCAGGCTGGTGAATGGTGAAAAAGCCGATTGGGTCCTCGAGATTGTGGCTGGCTAGGAACTTACGCTTCTCGACGAGCTCCGGATTAAATAGCATGGCCCATGCAAAACTACCCATCTGGTAGATATTCGAGGGAATGTCTCGCCACGGAACAGGGAAGTCATGGCCTGAGCCAAGGCTGCTTTCTTCAGTACGATTCTCTACTTGGAGGTTAGGGTTAGCTTACGCCGGGAATTGCCAAAAACCTCTGAGCCAGGGCTGTGCACCACCGAACACGTCGGCCAGAACGTTCGGCGACAAGATGGCGTGCAAGCGATTATCGCCTCGGGTCGCGTCCATCCCCGGCCGGTGGAACATATCGAGTACTACGACAGCGGGATCGATCTCTCTAATGAGTTTCTGTACATGGTTGTGGATCATGAGGTGGTCTTCTCCCGTCCACCGTGAGACGAACATAGCCATGTCATCATTAAGTCCTTTTAGTCCTTGGATCCCAGGTGGGCGTATCCAATTTGGTGTGAAGTTGAACCCAGAGGCGTCGGAGGACTTTGGTGCGGGCAGTTGATGAAAGATGGCGGGACGAGATGACGGAGATTTTATGCGGGCGTGGGCGGACATCCTGTCGATCTTGGGCTCGATCTTGGGCCATGATGCAAAATGGACTATGATCTCTGGGTGACGTTCTAACAGAGAATAGACTGTCGCAACGTGAACGTTCGAGAGCCCATGCTCAACATTGGTAACAAACAACACAGTGTTGTTCTTACCGATGACTGGAGGCTGTCGTTCGGTCTTAGTGCTGCGAAGGGAAACGGCGGCGGCCAGGAGAGCGATGATCAGAGCCCCGAAAACCTGAACAGGTTTGTTTGAGAAAAAGATCATTTTGAGACTACGACAGGACGATTTACTTGGATATTTCGCAGCCACTTGCTAACCTGCATGGCCAAATTATATGTATAGTACTTGGTTTTACCTCTCACAATCAACTCTGTGCATGCGTTCTTCCAATTCCATTGTGGTGGAGTCGCATCACTATATCGGCGATCAGCTCGTACGGGGACTTGTGGTCGCATGGTCATCATCTGCATAGCAAGATGACCGTGCATCGACCGAATCCAACAGCTCCTTGCCCTGGTCATTCTGTCGGACTTTCGGTCAAGCGGAGGCCAAATTGCCTCCGAAAGCACACCGCAAGAATTCGCCGTGAACCTAAGCATAAAACGGTCCATTAGACTCCGGCTTATCCCCCAGTACTGGTGCTGCTCACTATAAGCTGAGTTGTCTGGCCTCGAACTTCTTTAGGCATTGTTCGCTTCCCATGATGACTTTCACATTGCCTCCCACGATTATACTCGGCACACACAGTGTGGGCACTCTTCATGTTGCTAACTGAATGCCGCTGATACGTCACCAGGTTGGAGACTCCATTGTCGACCCCGAAACCTCTCACTTTGATGCCGAGCAAGATGTCCAATCTCTTCTAGATGGCTTCTATGGCCGTGGATACAGCCACCTCGACACAGCTCGCGATTACTCTCCGAATCTACCAGGTGCATCCGAGTCACGTCTCGGCAGGGCTAAAGGCGCCTCTCGGTTCACAATCCACACAAAAGTCCACAGCGCAGACCCGGGAGATCATCTACCCACAAAGCTCGGACTTAGCATTGATCAATCACTGGAGGATCTCCAAACACACACTGTCGAGACCATGTTTTTGCATTTTCCGGACCGCCATACTCCCTTTGAGGAAACAATCAAAGCGATGGACACCGCTCTGAAACAAGGAAAATTCAAAAGGTACGGTCTTTCAAACTATTCAGCTACTGAGGTGCAACGAATACTCGATATCTGCGAGCGACATGGGTATAGGAAGCCTGGTGTGTATGAGGGACATTATAACGCCATTGTGAGAGGAGCGGAGAAGGAGTTGTTTCCCCTTTTGCGTAAGCATAATATGGCCTTCTACGCGTATAGGTACGTCTGCAACCCTGGTGATTCGAGAGCTGAATGCGAGTTAACTATGGTGTAGTCCCGCGGCTGGCGGTCTTTTCTCAGGCCATACTGCTTCTTCGGGACGATGGAAACGGGATGTAGGTCAAGAGGCTGGTGTTCCAAGTTGAGTCATTAATCTAACTCAAAGAACACAGAACTTCCTAGGCAACATTTACACTTACCTCTATCGGAAACCCCCGGTCCGCATTGCAGTAGCTACAATACTTGAGCTTGCAGAAAACCACGGCATCAATGGACACGCTGCAGCATTGCGATGGACAGCATTTCATAGTAACCTGGATGGAAAGCATGGCGATGCTGTCATCTTTGGTGTTTCCAAGATGGAACAGCTTCATGAAACGCTCGATGCCCTTGAGGCTGGTCCTCTTCCCGAGGATCTTGCGGTTGCCATAAACTCTATTTATAGTACAGTAGAAGGCGCCGAGCCTCCTTACCACTTATAAACAAGTGAAAAGGAGCAATTGAATAACGAGATCAGGGAGAAGTATCATCGGAAGATGTCGAGACGGAAAGGGGTGGGATGACAAGGGCCGACAAGGCGTTGGAGGTGGCGAGACTAGGCACAGCAGGTAAAGAGGCGGAGGCCATTTTCAATCGGTATAAGTACAACATGTTGTTAAAGGAACCAGAGGGGAAGAGCGAGTCGAACTAAATAAACGGGAATGGAAAAGAACCTACGAGGGGAAGAGGCCAAGAAAGGTAAACTCAAGGAAGAACTTGAAGAAAGGAAGTAAGACAGAGCAAAGTGACCTCATGGCTACTCTTTTTAAGCCACGCGATTGCCACAGCTATAAATGTAGTAGCACAAGTCCTCGTTACTTACTAATATCTTACACTTGTATTGTGCTATCAAGAATCATCGAAAGACAAGTACAAAGCAGATGTTTATATTGAGGATAAAGCCTAGGCCTTACTTGGAAAATCATGCCATTGCCCCATCAGCCATGAGCCATCGCCCTTACAAATCCTATGCAGTTGATAATCTATGACTTCTCGTATCCCGAGGTCGAACTTTCTCCATTACCAACGACATTCTCATAAGCCGGCACTGGTCTACGCGTTCCGTCATACGCCGGAAGCTCCCCCGCGGCACCAGCGGATGGCGGTCATGACTGTGTGTCTGCAGCTGCCACCCTCTCAACAGCCGGCGACACAACAAACTCTTGAGACCCGCTACACTTCCATGACTCCCCTGCGACGACAAGGTGGAACTTCCACTTGAAAGTGTGAGCCAAAAAAAAGCCGTACGTTGTGTAATCCGGCCCCAGTGGAAAATGATGTTTATGCTCGCGCGGTGCCGAGCGACTGCGCGCATCCAAAGGTGCGCTCAACTCCAATGCCCTCTCTCCCGCAGCTAATGGAACCAGGAGCAAACCAGTCTTAACCGCGATGGCCTGGTCAATGTGCAACGTCATTGTTTCGGTACATTTACCCTCGTGCGCTTCACCTCTTCCTGGGCACGATACACCCGCTATCGTCAAGAGATTGATCACCGCGTTCGTCAGATAAACCTTTTGCAGGACATCGCGAAGTAGGTCGGAGCTCTTCGCACGGTCGGGGATGATGTTGAGCCGGAACGGGGTAGCGGCAGGGTTGCCCAATTGAATGACCGAGGAACACTCCACTCGTAACTTGAAGTGCCATGCCGGCACCCTTTTCGAACCGAGGAACATCTGCATTTTCTGATTCCACGTCAGTTCCGCGTGCTCCATTCCCGATGGCTTGTCACAGATCCTTCCGTCATCGTGCCACGCATTTCGAAATCCGTGTTCACCGCCCGCGCCAGCCGTGACGATACCCGCACTGGCAGCGTTGCCTCGAGAGGGTGCATCTTCTTCCCCTCCACCAGTATCACCGCTTCGAGAAAGTACTCTACGAACCTGTGCCCTTCACAGATTGTCATGCCGCAACTCGCCGGTAGTGGCTACTCTGGCAGTGCCTGCTTGCCTGTTACGTCTTCCGGTGCGCGGAGATAGCTGGCCTCCCGTTGGACCCTTCGAAGCCCCTCATTCAGGGCCTTGCCATCCGTGTGTAGAGGCACTGTGAGCGTACAAGGCCATGTCTGCGATGCGGTATTGGGCTTTAATACGATATGCAACGGACCCCGGTGGACGACTTGCGATACGGCGTTCTGGTTCCAGAACTCGAAGCCGGCATCATAACAATCTATGGATCTGCCCCACGGTATTTGTAGTCAGCCGGCTGAGCCACCCATTAGACAAAAGCGAATGGTAGCAAAGGCGGCGACGATGTGCGATTTTTGGGTGACGTGGCCGCGGATAATGAAGCCAGGGTAGAGCGGTATAGAGGGGTCGAGTAGATGGATAGAAAGGCCTGGTCCTCCTTTGACTTCAGCAGGCGTTATCATTATGGCTGCTTTGAGTCTCACACTTCACTTGGCTGGATGGTGTTGATATATAGAGTGATGATGCTGACTGGCAAAGGATAGGCATTATACATAGTGTCTGTTAGTACTGACGTTCAAAGCACGAGGAAGTAAGCGCATTAGATACTTCCTATTAATATCTTCTAATATAATTAAGGCACCCTATTCAAGGCTTTTTTTTTAAAGGTTATTAGACTCATAAGTAGCTAGATTCCTTATCTATTAATAACTAGAGTAGCTATAAAGATGGGTGTCGACCCATCGTGTTCGGTAGTAGTGTTCTTCGGCCGTGAACCCTGGCAAGTTTTGCAGTACAGTTCTTAATCATCCGTTCTCTTGCCGAGTTTTGACCCGTTCTATTTAACGTAAGTATTAGACTCAGCCGGCGGGTCGGATACCGAGAGGTATAGAATCGGTTCCTAAGTCTACTACCGCCGGAGGCCTTGGCCAAACTTTAGTAGGGATGATAAGAGAACTGCGGCACCGTATAAATTCAGTACTTATCTTGGGTTACTCCTACTTCGGCGAGCTTACACTATCTATTTCTGTACGATACTACTATAACTGGACGTGAAGGATCAATGTGCGATTCATAAGAAAGCTATAAGTTGTTTGAATGTTGCAAAGTATGTCTCAAAACCGCATTAGAGTGACATCTTTGGAATATCTGCCATGGTCTCTTTAGTATTCACTGCTATTTTCCCACGCAACATTGGGCTGGGTCATCTGTTGACTCAGTGAGCTCACTCTCGGGGGACTCAGGCATTACAGGGAGCGAAGTACCGTCTTAACAAGCCAATGGCCCCAAACAGGCTTCACTGGTATCGGGCGTTAGGGTTAGGGTTAGGGTTAGGGTTAGGGTTAGGGTTAGGGTTAGGGTTAGGGTTAGGGTTAGGGTTAGGGTTAGGGTACGCCGTGGCTGTGGCCACGCCAGGAACCTGGATCATGATCGTCTGGGCACCATCGGAGCCCATTGGCATAGTTGAGGTGGCAGTAACACTGAGACCAGGGATCGTCGTCGTGACGAGCACCAAGCG